CATACTGGGCAGAAACCCTATAAATGCCTGGAGTGTGGACAGAGCTTTGCTCAGAGTTCAGGTCTGCATTCACATAAAAGGACTCACACTGGGGAGAAACCCTATACGTGCCTGGAGTGTGGACAAAGCTTCGCTCATAATTCAGGTCTGCATTCACATAAAAGGACTCACACTGGGGAGAAACCATATTCCTGCCTGGAGTGTGGACAGCGTTTCGCTTATAGTACAAATCTACGTTCACATCAAAAGACTCACACTGGAGAGAAACCCTATAAATGCCTGGAGTGTGGACAGAGCTTTGCTCATAGTTCTGATCTACGTTCACATGAAAGGACACACACTGGGGAGAAACCCTATAAATGCCTGGAATGTGGACAGACTTTCACTCATAATTCAAGTCTACATAAACATCAAAGGATTCACACAGGGGAGAAACCCTATAATTGCCAGGAATGTGGAAAGAGCTTCACTCGTAGTTCAGGTCTACGTTCACATGAAAAGACACACACTGGGGAGAAACCCTATAATTGCCAGGAATGTGGACAGAGCTTCACTTGTAATTCAGGTCTACGTAAACATCAAAGGATTCACACTGGGGAGAAACCCTATAATTGCCAGGAATGTGGACAGAGGTTCACTTATAATTCAAGTCTACGTAAACATCAAAGGATTCACACTGGGGAGAAACCTTATAAATGCCTGGAATGTGGTCAGAGCTTCACTCAAAGTTCAACTCTACGTACACATCAAAAGATTCACACTGGGGAGAAACCCTATACATGCCTGGAATGTGGACAGAGGTTCACTCATAATTCAAGTCTACGTAAACATCAAAGGATTCACATTGGGGAGAAACCTTATAAATGCCTGGAATGTGGTCAGAGCTTCACTCAGAGTGGAGTTCTGCAGACACACCAAAGGATTCACACTGGGGAGAAACCCTATAAATGCCAGGAATGTGGACAAAGCTTTGCTCATAATTCAAGTCTACAGTCACATGAAAGGACACACACTGGGCAGAAACCTTATAAATGCCTGGAATGTGGACGGAGCTTCACTCATAGGTCAGGTCTTCGTTCACATCAAACGGCTCACACTGGAGAAAAACCCTATACATGCATGGAGTGTGGAAAGACCTTTGCTTATAGTTCAGATCTACGTTCCCATCTAAGGACTCACATGGGGGAGAAGCCCTATACATGCCTGGAATGTGGACAGAGCTTCACTCAGAGTTCTCATCTAAATAAACATGAAAGGACACACACTGGGGAGAAACCCTATACATGCCTTGAGTGTGGACAGAGCTTCACTCAGAGTTCTCATCTAAATAAACATCAAAGGATTCACACTGGGGAGAAACCCTATACATGCCTGGAGTGTGGACAGAGCTTCACTTGTAGTTCACCTCTACATAAACATCAAAGAACTCACCCTGGGGAGAAACCATGTCTAGACATAGCATAAAATCATAGAATGATGGGATAATAGAGTTGGAAGAGATGACATGGGACATCCAATCCTGCTTTGATTTTATAAGCTTCATGTGATTGTATGGTTATTACTGATGTTCAATACAGTTTTAATATCTGTATATTTTAAGTTGTATTGCAATACTGGGACATCCAATCCTGCTTTGATTTTATAAGCTTCTTGCGCCTATTATGAATTTGACCAATTTTTAAAAAATATTAATGATGTTCAATACAGTTTTAATATTTGTATATTTTAGGTTGTATTGTGACGCTTTTAATTTGTGGGCCGCTTTGTGTCCGAATGGAGAGAAAAAGCGGGATATAAATAAATATAGTAATGAGAACCCCCCGCCATGCAGGAAAAGCACAATCCAAGTATCCCTGAGAGATGGCACGTGGAAAGAGCGTTTGTTTATTATTATTGATCCTGTCAGGAGAAAACCACACAGTTGTTTTGCATTTTTTAAGAAACAAAACACAAAGTTTGCAAGCTTGGTAGTTGATGAAATGTCCCTTGACCAGTCACTGTCCACTTGGAGTGCCTCTGGTGTTACTCTAAGAAAGTCCTCCCTTCTGCATGTGGCGGGGCTCCCTCGTCTGGCTTTCGCTGCTTGCAATGCTCGATAATAATAAATAAGAATAATCTTTATTTATACCCTGTCTCCATCTTCCCAACGGGGACTCGGGGCAGCTTACACGAGGCCAAGCCCAACAGCACAATACAATAAATAAAATGAAAATGCACACAATAACATGATAAATTACATAAAACATAAACATATGGCAATATAATATTAAAATCAAACATAACACAGTGATGGTGACAGTGGCCGTGAGTGGGCCGCATGTACAGAATAAAATACGAAAGCTAAGACACTAAAAACTAGTAACACGGGGTGAGAGAGGGATGGAGCAGGTTATTTGTGAAGGAGATACTCCTCGGACGTGAGGTCAAGAAAGGTCTTCGCACAGGAGAGGAGGACCAACGTTGAGGGTAGCAGCAGTCTCAGGTTGTGTGATTAATCACCAGAAGCGCAACGGAAGAGCCAGGTTTTGAGATTCCTCTTAAAGCTTTCTAAGGAGGGGAGAGACTAATCTCATCAGGCCGTGTATTCGATGGGCGGTGCAAGTCAGGCGAGAGAGGCCGGTATCGCCCAAAGCCCCTCGCCGCTTTCCTTCTTGCCAGGCCCGACGGGCGGTGCGAGCCAGGCGAGGGGCTTCACGCAAGGCCAGGCCGCACGCCTTTTTCGATAAATGAGTAAGTAGTGTGTCTGTATATTATATACTTACAAACTTGATGTAACAAATTGTTCTACTGTATGTGTGTATTCATGATATGTGTTGTTTGTGGACCCAACCTCCTGGCAAAGGCTCTTGTGAGCCGAAACCGGTGGCAGGTTGGAGTCGACTGGTGTGTAGCGAAGGGGATAGGACACGTATTGTGATGACTGGCGTCTACTCGTATGCAATAAAGAATGGGACACTGATGGACGTTCAAGGACTGTTCTTACTCACAAGAAGGTTTTGTTTCATACTTCAAGAGAAGAACCAATTGTTTTGCCTAGTGTGAATGTGGCAGCTCTGTGTTTTGTTGACATGTGTATTTGTAATTATTATTATTATTATTTTTAACTTTATTTGTCCCCCGCTAGCATCTCCCGAAGGACTCAATGCGGCTTACGAAGGCCAAGGCCTCAATACACAACATAACAATACACAACCTAAAGCAAATTAAAAACAATTATAGCACTATTAAACAACAAGCAATAAACAATACGCTAAGACACAATAAAACTGGGCCGGGCCAGAGTAATGGGTACAGAATTAAAAGTGCTGACGTGACAGGTAATATATAAGGATTATAGGGCAAGTGCAGTGTGCAGCAATCTTAGTTCTAATAAAGTGCTTCTGGGACTTGTTGTTGGAGTTTCCTATTCTGGAAAGGCACATCGGAACAGCCAGGTCTTCAAGTTCTTTCTAAAGACTGCCAACGGAGGGGCCTGAAGATCTTTGGAGAGGGTGTTCCAGAGTCGGGGGGCCACCACAGAAAAGGCCCTGTCTCATGTCCCCACCAAACGCGCTTGCGACGCAGGCGGAATCACGAGCAGGGCCTCTCCGGATGAACGAAGTGAACGCGTGGGTTTGTAAACAGAGAGCGGAGAGGGTCCCTCTTGTCTTTTGCCGAATGGAGCATGGGTGGGATTGTCTTGCTGGGTCTGGAGATTGTGCGTAGGTTGTGGTTCCCTTGATGTGTGGTAAGAACCCTTTCTCTCTGGGTGGCTCTTTGTCTTGACTCTCGTGGATTGTTCTTGGCCTTGCAGCTCTCTGACAACCACCATGTCAGGCTCCACAGAAAAGCCCAGCACGGGGATAATTCCTTCGCCCTATCTGTGGGTTCATACACGGAGATGCGGTCACGCAGGTAGGATGGTCCCATCCGCTCAGGGCTTTGTAGGTAAGCACCTGCACCTTAAATTGGGCTCGGAAGATAAACGGCAGCCAGTGGAGATCCTTGAACAGAAAGGTTGACCTCTCTCTGTAATGTCTACATTGAGTTAATTTAGATACATTCGCATCACCACAATCAGTGGATTTTGGTCTCCACAGGAAAACTATACATCCCAGCAAGTCCTCCCACATGCCAAGGTCTATCTTCCCCAAGCCCCTCCAGTATTTCCTGTGGTCATGGGAGTTTGGCCAATAGGCTGATCAGTAAACATATCCATGGGTCCTCTGCCGTTACACACTCTTATGACAACCGTTAGCCATGCTGTGACGTGCTTGAAGGCAAATTTTCCTTTATTTGTATCTAGTTATTTATTTGAACCATTGATATTCCGCCCTTCTCCTCACCCGGACTCAGGGCGGAGCACAGCATATACACGGCAAACATCCAATGCCGGGACACACATTCACATACACATACATAAACATTAAGAACATATATCTCCATATTAAAATACACCATTGGAAACCGTCCTGGTCATCAACATAAAATCTAGTTGGCCTGGTCACCTTTCCCATGGCCGCTTTCATGCCCTGTCCCGAAAGCTTGGTCCCACAGCCAAGTGTTGACCCTCCTTCTGAAGGGCAGGAGGGAGGGGCCGACCCGATCTCACCAGGAAGGGAGTTCCTTAGCTGGGGAGCAATCACTGAAAAGGCCCTGCCTCTCATCCCTGCCAATTGCGCCTGTGACAATTGGAAATCTGCTGGTGGGGGGGGGGGGCTTGGAAGGTGACGTTCCTGCTTCTGGGCGGAATGGGGTTGGGCTGGAGGGGGGCCCAGCAGGCCTCTTCCCACTCCGGGATTATTCTAGGGTTCCATATGGTGATGGTGACTCCTCCTCACGATGCTTTCTCTTCAGCTTGTCACCCTGAAAATACATCCTGCCTCTCTGATGTTGACATCATCATCATCATCATATTTAATTACTTATTAATTGCCCTCCATCCGAGCATGCTCTAGGCATTCTAAGATTTATTTATTGTTTATCGCGTCAGGGCAACCAGTCAATTACGTTACATTTCTAAGAGAACAAAGCAAACAAAACAGACAGAATACAAAATGTGTGAGTTTGGTAGTTGATTAAGTGTCCTCTGAGCAGTCTCTGGCCCCTTGGAGTGCTGCAAGGAGGAGGGCCTCCCTGGGGCATCATGGGGAAGAAGGGCTCAGGGTGCAAGGGAGCAGGGGGTCCGTGGTTTGCTCCTCTTCGCACTCGCATGCTGTGGATTATTCCACTTGGTGGCCCCATTTCTGGAGGTTGGCTCTGCATCTCATGGGGCCAGAGCGGAGTCTGTTCAGCGCCTTCCAAGTCACCCAGGAGTCTTCTTCTGTGTGCCCAGGAAGGGGGAGTCTCTCATCTGGGATCAGCCAGGGATTGGGGTGCTGGGCATGAGCCTGCCGCTTTTGGACTCTCGCTTGCTGAGGTGTTCCAGCGAGTGTCTCTGTAGAACTGTAAAAGATCAAATCCATACATACAGATATTGATAATATTAATAGGGATCAAAAGCTGTAGTGAAAAGCCAGGTGTGTAAAGTGCGAGAGTAAAAGGCCCCAAGCCAGGCCTGGCTCTCAAGGAGGGCGGCAAGGGACTCCACTAGGCAGAGAGAGGCAGGAAGAGAGACATGGCGGCTCATCAACTGAGCCCGAGCGCAGCGGGGAGCCCCGCCTTCACATTGGTGTGAACCGCAGCGGAGAGTTCCGCAGTTCCTGGATCAAGCTTTTGGGACCAGCAGATGAAATGTGCCCCCGCAGCCAGCTCAAAACCAGGAATGCTTGCAGCTTCACTTTGCTTTCCCTTACCCTTTACTTTGTATCATTTCCCTAATAAAAGATACTTGAAACTTGCAATTTTTTATCTTTCCGCATGCTACTTTTATATCCTTTCTTGACTCAAACAAAATAACATTGCAATAAACCTTTTTTTGGGCTCCGGAATACGGAAACCGCCATTTCAGACCCCCTTATCCACGAAAATACATAAAATGGCGGATCGCCGCCGTTCTAATTTTATATTTTTCTACAACTAATTTTAAGACTAACTGCCATCTCCCTTTTCTCGTTTTGGGCCCCTTCACCCGGGGAAAAATTAGTTTTGTTTTAAGTATTTTATCTTGCAGAGAAACAGCTGATTGTCAAACTGGCCAGGCTCTTCGCTTCTCCTCGGCGGCGTTCGCTCCCGCTCGGATCCAGCAGCCAGGGACCCACTGCGGCCACCCGTAGGAGTCCCGGGAAGGTGGCCAGGCATGGGTCCCGGCCTCTGATCAGGGAAATGTAGTTTCCCAAAGGACATTGCCCCATCAATCACAACCCGGAAACCCTCCTTGGACTCTCTTATTTGCCCTCTCCTATTGACTTTCTGCTCCACATCCCGGACTGTTTTCTGCCACATTTTTTGGACACAAACCTTCAGATCAGGCTTGCCCCGATTCACAAGTAGCCTCCGCTTCCGTGTGCCTTCACCAGGAGACCATGAACTTCTTTCAATAATAAAAATGACTGAATATTTTTATTAATAAACTTTCGCTGGGGATGGGGATGGGATTGCCTCATGAAATGTGGGAAATATATGAAATGTATGTAATGAAATATTATAAGAAATGTACTCTGGTTCCCCTCCCCGCTTCTCCTCTTTGACC